GACCATAAGCATTATTCCTGCATCCATTGGCCCATGTAGGTAATCCTTGAACCCTATTCCTTCCTTCAACATTCCGTACACTTCTAGACCCTCCTTATCCTTGGATTCTTTCCTCAGATTCTGTTCTTCTCTCTCGGCACAAGCAACAGATATCTTCTCCTTGAACCCCTGTAGACCCTCCGTTTCCAGCGTTTCATCTTCGTCGATGTCGAGCCCCTTCCATACGTCCTCTACAACCTTGACCCATTCCGTGGGTTGTCTACCCCTCTTTTTGTTTGCCCGCTTCGCCTCCCATACAATTCTCGGCAACCTCTCCTCTCCCATCCCGCACATGCGATACTGCCATGTCAGCTTCCTCGCGTCTCTTCCCGACCGTAGGGATTGGATCCCCAATTCTGCATTGACGGCTGTATTACTTGTGCGCTTGGAGCATCCTAGGATGATTTTCGCTGCTTTCATCTGCGCCGCCTCGAGTTCTTTCACTACCTTCTTATTTCCTTCCCATACTTCTCCGGCGTACTCTGTCTTCTTACGGGGGGGGGGGGATAAAACGGGTGTTCACCATCGTAAAAAGTATGATGGGAGCGACCCCGCCCGACGGGGCCCCGGTCACGTCAAGAACAAACCCGGAAAACAGGTATTCTACACATCTTCAACCGTCAGAACCAAAGGGGCCTCAAAACAGTAAACACACACACACTTTCCATTGCACTGAGACTGACGTCATTTCATTAGTCAGCCGGATAGCGCGGTTAACGCGAACAATACAATGAGACTGAGGTCACTTCATTGGCCAGCCGGATAGCGCGGTCGATGCTAACAATAACAGTAATAATAAAAAATCACACACACACACACACACACAGAAGCAAGCCGCCCTCACCTTGCCCACTTCGTCGGGTTCTCCCCCACCAGACGCCGCCAAGGTCGCGGGTGGAGCAACACCTTCCGCGCCGCCCGCCGCCGCCGCCGCCACCGCCACCGCCTGAGAACCTCCGTCGCTGGCCTGTCCCGCCAACAACGCATCAACGTTCCCCGCCGGGCAGGTCGCTTCCTCCGGCACCACAGGGGGGGCCTCGGCAGCCGGGGGCGGTACCTCATCAGCGCCAGGGGGGGGTACCTCGTCGTCAGCAGGGGTCGGCAGCACCTCATCAGCAGCGGGAGGAGGTACCTCACTAGCAGCAGGAGCCGACACTTCATGAGCAGCAGGAGCCGACGCCTCATGAGAAGGAGGCGGCACCTCATGAGCAGCAGGAGCCGACACCTCATGAGCAGCAGGAACCGGCACCTCCTGAGCAGCAGGAGCCGACATCTCCTGAGCAGCAGGGGCCAACACCTCATGAATAGAAAGCGGCACCTCGGCGGCATCGCTGACGACCACAACACCACCGCCTTCGTCAGCCTCGCCAATCGCATCCTCCATCACCGCAACCGCCCCCGCCGCCGCCGCGGGCACCACGGTCACGGTAGCGCTTTCCGCCCGCGCTTCCTCTGCTGCCGTTGCTCTTGCCGCTGCTGTGGGATTGTCGGCAACGATGCTGCCGTCATCAGCGCTGCTGCCGGCCCCGACAATACCTTCTCCTCCGCCGTGCTCTCCCGTCGCTAGCTCCTTCGTCCCTGCCCCGGCAACACCATCACCATCCGCACCGCAGACTGACTGCTGTTCCGTGACTGCAGGCGGTACGGATTCGGGCTCCGATTCCCCACCCGCGGCGCCATGCACGTCGGTAATGACGTCGGGACGAGGCGGGAGCGGGGGGGGTTGCGGCGAGGAGGAGGAGGAGGACCCTTCCAGCGCTACTTTCGGCGCCGGTGTCGTCCACGGTGTCAACGACAGCGCCTCGGGGGCGGCCTCGCCGCAAACGACGGCGAGCTTGCCGCCGCCGTCTTCGCCAACCTCGGCCGTGGCACCCTCCTCCTCGGGGACACCGCCGACGCCGCCGACGCCTCCGCCGACGCCGCTGTCCTGCCCCCGCACGCCCTCTTGCGCGACGGCACCGGAGGCGGTGGTAGCGGCACCAACCGGCGAGCAGCAGCGGACGCTATCGCCCACGGAGGAAGACGGCGGTGCCGGCACCACCGCCGAAGAAGTAACGGGTCCGGCTTCCACCGGCGGCGTTGAGGCGCCGCCGCCGCCGCCGCCGCCATCATCACCGCCCACGGGCCGTCCCACAGCCTCACCTGCTTCCTCTGTTGCGGTTTCCCCTTCTGCGACTACCGCCGCCGCCGGGGCCCTCGCGACAGTCTCCGTCACACCGGGGGGAGTGGCGGGGCTTTCCTCGTCGGCGTCGCCGCCGCCGCCGCCGCCGCCCTCGCAACTCGTTTCGCCGCCATCCTGGCTGGGTCCGACCACACCACCGGGCGAAGCGATGGACGTGGCCGCCGCGGCATCAGGGACGGTCAAAGGCAGCGGCGACAACCTCGAGCCCTCCTCCTCCTCCTCCGCCGTTTCGTCTGCGGGAGAAGAAGCGGCACTCGACGTTGTTATGACGGCCGCCGCTCCGACACCGGGAGCGCCTCCCGTCGCCGCCGCCGGTGGCGATCGTTCAGGAAGCACACCCCCGCCTTCTTCAACGGCAACGAAGGCAGCAGCAGCAGCAGCAGCAGCGCCAGCAGCGCCAGCAGCGCCAGCAGCAGCAGCAAAAGTATCAGCAACAGGGGAGGCAGAAGCGGCGTCCGTAGCTTGGGTGCTGCTACAGACAACGACGGCTGCGGGGACCGCCACTCCCGCCCCTCCTCCTTCCGCGGGCGGCAGCGTCACGGCAAGGGCATCTCCCTCGGCCACAACAGTTCGCGAGGGCACAGACACGCTGCCGCCGGCGCTCACCGCGGCAGGAGCTGGAGGCTTACCCCGCAGCTCGTCTTCCTTCTCCTCTCCCTCCGCCGCCGCCGCGCCTGCGGTCGCTTCGGCGGTGGTACCGGGCACCGCCACACTGCCCACACCGGTCAACTCCGGGGCCGAGGGATCGGACGGAGGTGGCGGAAGCTTCGAGTTGGGGACAGGCTGACAACAGAGAGGTCGGGGGGCGCGGCGGCGGCGGCGGCGGCGGGGGGGGGGGGGG